GCTGCAGCAGCAGCAGCAGCAGCAGCAGCAGCAGCAGCAGCAGCTAGCTGCCGCCGCGGAGCTGCAGCACCATGTGGATGGTGCAGCCCGGAGCCACTTTGTAGTCGCTGAGTTTGAGCTCGTCGCTCATTTGCTTCCCCGCGAAGATGAGGCGAATCTGCTTGCTGCAGCAGCAGCAGCAGCAGCAGCAGCAGCAGCAGCAGCAGCAGCAGCTAGCTGCCGCCGCGGAGCTGCAGCACCATGTGGATGGTGCAGCCCGGAGCCACTCTGTAGTCGCTGAGTTTGAGCTCGTCGCTCATTTGCTTCCCCGCGAAGATGAGGCGAATCTGCTTGCTGCAGCAGCAGCAGCAGCAGCAGCAGCAGCAGCAGCAGCAGCTAGCTGCCGCCGCGGAGCTGCAGCACCATGTGGATGGTGCAGCCCGGAGCCACTCTGTAGTCGCTGAGTTTGAGCTCGTCGCTCATTTGCTTCCCCGCGAAGATGAGGCGAATCTGCTTGCTGCAGCAGCAGCAGCAGCAGCAGCAGCAGCAGCAGCTAGCTGCCGCCGCGGAGCTGCAGCACCATGTGGATGGTGCAGCCCGGAGCCACTCTGTAGTCGCTGAGTTTGAGCTCGTCGCTCATTTGCTTCCCCGCGAAGATGAGGCGAATCTGCTTGCTGCAGCAGCAGCAGCAGCAGCAGCAGCAGCAGCAGCTAGCTGCCGCCGCGGAGCTGCAGCACCATGTGGATGGTGCAGCCCGGAGCCACTCTGTAGTCGCTGAGTTTGAGCTCGTCGCTCATTTGCTTCCCCGCGAAGATGAGGCGAATCTGCTTGCTGCAGCAGCAGCAGCAGCAGCAGCAGCAGCAGCAGCTAGCTGCCGCCGCGGAGCTGCAGCACCATGTGGATGGTGCAGCCCGGAGCCACTCTGTAGTCGTTGAGTTTGAGCTCGTCGCTCATTTGCTTCCCCGCGAAGATGAGGCGAATCCGCCTGCTGCAGCAGCAGCAGCAGCAGCAGCAGCAGCAGCAGCTAGCTGCCGCCGCGGAGCTGCAGCACCATGTGGATGGTGCAGCCCGGAGCCACTCTGTAGTCGCTGAGTTTGAGCTCGTCGCTCATTTGCTTCCCCGCGAAGATGAGGCGAATCTGCTTGCTGCAGCAGCAGCAGCAGCAGCAGCAGCAGCAGCAGCTAGCTGCCGCCGCGGAGCTGCAGCACCATGTGGATGGTGCAGCCCGGAGCCACTCTGTAGTCGCTGAGTTTGAGCTCGTCGCTCATTTGCTTCCCCGCGAAGATGAGGCGAATCTGCTTGCTGCAGCAGCAGCAGCAGCAGCAGCAGCAGCAGCAGCAGCAGCTAGCTGCCGCCGCGAAGCTGCAGCACCATGTGGATGGTGCAGCCCGGAGCCACTTGTAGTCGCTGAGTTGAGCTCGTCGCTCATTTGCTTCCCCGCGAAGATGAGGCGAATCTGCTTGCTGCAGCAGCAGCAGCAGCAGCAGCAGCAGCAGCTAGCTGCCGCCGCGGAGCTGCAGCACCATGTGGATGGTGCAGCCCGGAGCCACTCTGTAGTCGCTGAGTTTGAGCTCGTCGCTCATTTGCTTCCCCGCGAAGATGAGGCGAATCTGCTTGCTGCAGCAGCAGCAGCAGCAGCAGCAGCAGCAGCAGCAGCAGCAGCAGCTAGCTGCCGCCGCGGAGCTGCAGCACCATGTGGATGGTGCAGCCCGGAGCCACTCTGTAGTCGCTGAGTTTGAGCTCGTCGCTCATTTGCTTCCCCGGGAAGATGAGGCGAATCTGCTTGCTGCAGCAGCAGCAGCAGCAGCAGCAGCAGCAGCAGCAGCAGCTAGCTGCCGCCGCGGAGCTGCAGCACCATGTGGATGGTGCAGCCCGGAGCCACTCTGTAGTCGCTGAGTTTGAGCTCGTCGCTCATTTGCTTCCCCGCGAAGATGAGGCGAATCTGCTTGCTGCAGCAGCAGCAGCAGCAGCAGCAGCAGCAGCAGCTAGCTGCCGCCGCGGAGCTGCAGCACCATGTGGATGGTGCAGCCCGGAGCCACTCTGTAGTCGCTGAGTTTGAGCTCGTCGCTCATTTGCTTCCCCGCGAAGATGAGGCGAATCTGCTTGCTGCAGCAGCAGCAGCAGCAGCAGCAGCAGCAGCAGCAGCTAGCTGCCGCCGCGGAGCTGCAGCACCATGTGGATGGTGCAGCCCGGAGCCACTCTGTAGTCGCTGAGTTTGAGCTCGTCGCTCATTTGCTTCCCCGCGAAGATGAGGCGAATCTGCTTGCTGCAGCAGCAGCAGCAGCAGCAGCAGCAGCAGCAGCAGCAGCTAGCTGCCGCCGCGGAGCTGCAGCACCATGTGGATGGTGCAGCCCGGAGCCACTCTGTAGTCGCTGAGTTTGAGCTCGTCGCTCATTTGCTTCCCCGCGAAGATGAGGCGAATCTGCTTGCTGCAGCAGCAGCAGCAGCAGCAGCAGCAGCAGCAGCAGCTAGCTGCCGCCGCGGAGCTGCAGCACCATGTGGATGGTGCAGCCCGGAGCCACTCTGTAGTCGCTGAGTTTGAGCTCGTCGCTCATTTGCTTCCCCGCGAAGATGAGGCGAATCTGCTTGCTGCAGCAGCAGCAGCAGCAGCAGCAGCAGCAGCAGCAGCTAGCTGCCGCCGCGGAGCTGCAGCACCATGTGGATGGTGCAGCCCGGAGCCACTCTGTAGTCGCTGAGTTTGAGCTCGTCGCTCATTTGCTTCCCCGCGAAGATGAGGCGAATCTGCTTGCTGCAGCAGCAGCAGCAGCAGCAGCAGCAGCAGCAGCAGCTAGCTGCCGCCGCGGAGCTGCAGCACCATGTGGATGGTGCAGCCCGGAGCCACTCTGTAGTCGCTGAGTTTGAGCTCGTCGCTCATTTGCTTCCCCGCGAAGATGAGGCGAATCTGCTTGCTGCAGCAGCAGCAGCAGCAGCAGCAGCAGCAGCAGCAGCAGCTAGCTGCCGCCGCGGAGCTGCAGCACCATGTGGATGGTGCAGCCCGGAGCCACTCTGTAGTCGCTGAGTTTGAGCTCGTCGCTCATTTGCTTCCCCGCGAAGATGAGGCGAATCTGCTTGCTGCAGCAGCAGCAGCAGCAGCAGCAGCAGCAGCAGCAGCAGCTAGCTGCCGCCGCGGAGCTGCAGCACCATGTGGATGGTGCAGCCCGGAGCCACTCTGTAGTCGCTGAGTTTGAGCTCGTCGCTCATTTGCTTCCCCGCGAAGATGAGGCGAATCTGCTTGCTGCAGCAGCAGCAGCAGCAGCAGCAGCAGCAGCAGCTAGCTGCCGCCGCGGAGCTGCAGCACCATGTGGATGGTGCAGCCCGGAGCCACTCTGTAGTCGCTGAGTTTGAGCTCGTCGCTCATTTGCTTCCCCGCGAAGATGAGGCGAATCTGCTTGCTGCAGCAGCAGCAGCAGCAGCAGCAGCAGCAGCAGCAGCAGCTAGCTGCCGCCGCGGAGCTGCAGCACCATGTGGATGGTGCAGCCCGGAGCCACTCTGTAGTCGCTGAGTTTGAGCTCGTCGCTCATTTGCTTCCCCGCGAAGATGAGG